ATTATTGAACAGCATCAGATATAAATCTTTAAAACTTAATCTATTATGGCAAATCTGAATAGATCGATTTTATAATTCCAATCGAATAAAAGATAAATTTAAATCAAAAAACAGTATCAGCTTTTTAGCATTAACAACATCATTTTAGGACAAATGCATCATTGAAACTATTTAAAAATCTTAAATTTTATCAATAGAAAACCTTTCTAAAATAATTACTCAGTCAATCAAGTTCTATATAACTAAATATTCACTTTGATTTTGTACTATATTTCTACCTTAGAATTTTTCGATATATGTTACAAAAAAAATAATAAATTAATATCCAAGAAGAATCAATCATTAGATTGAATTTTGTCATATTAATTATCTAGAGTATTACTTACAGTAACATTCTTAGCACATGAGTCGTATCTTAGATTTTTAGCCATAATACCATTCGAATAAAAATGAAACTTAAATTATTAAATATTTCTTTTCAAGTATATACAGTGACATACAAAAGTTTAGAGCAGCTGTATTTTGAAGTTTTCTTCTCGATGATAATTGCTAGCAAGAATTTGAGAAAACAATTGTGCAGTTGAAAGAATTCTCTATCAGGATTGGTAGGTCCGAAGTTTTCAGTAAAACTGCTTGGATAATGGTCTGCGGAAAACTATGTAGTTTTGCTGAAGTCTTCGGGTCTACCAATCCTAATAGAGAATTCTTTCAACTACACAAATATTTTCTCAAACTCTTGCTAGATATTACCATAGAGAAGAAAACTTTAAAATACAACTACTCTAAACTTTTGTATATAACTATAAAACATTGATATTAACAATGAAATATTCCTATAGATCACGTCGTATGACTGATCTTATTAACGTATGTTGTTTTTGATTATAATAATGACAAACTCTAAACATGTGTGTAGATGCTATCATGTTGAAAATCTTCTTCATATATGCATGATGTCTTTTGTTTTCTTTATTTCTCATTCTTATAATACAATATTCGATAAGAAAAATAATTATAATCGTAGAATAGACAAAAAACAAAAAAGCTTTACTTACTTTAACACGTGTTGTTATTGACTTATTTTTGAGATTTTGTTGTAAATTAATTCGAGTATTATCTAATTTTCCTCGATCAACTGCATTTTCATGTGAAACATATTTTCGTCGTGCCATTTTATTTCTTTTGATTCAATCATTAATTAACACACTGTATCTATTCCTTATTATTATATGCCTATTAGTAAATCAACAGTTAGTTGATTTCAGTCGAGCATACTTAGATCATACAATGTTGTTCTAACAACGAGTGTCGAGAAGTATACTCTTTCTTTTTTTTTTCTTGTGCTCTTTTTATCGTTTGTATGCTTTCTATAATATCGGATCGCGGTTATAAATAGGAAGAACACACTTGGTTGAATGACGGCACCCCACAATTATAATCGAGTATTCTTATCGGCCTATTCTAATGATACGATTAACATCTTATGATCTCGGAAATAAAATATATACATATATATATATATATATTAGGCAACAATCCTTTTTTCTTTTTTATGTACTTTTATAAAAGATTGTCGAATACATTGTCATATGTGTTCTATGGACAGATGGTGAACGAATAAATTATTAATGATTTGATATTGCTTTTTATTCTGAAATAAGACCTAATCAATAGATTGAAGAAACATTGTAAAAAAGAAAACTATTTCTCGATTCAATCGCATAAGTTAGAAGATTTGAAGTCAATTAATAATGGTGTTTATTATGTATTCTTCTCGCTTTTAGTTTTTGATCTTTTTTACTTTTTCCGTCATCGAACAATGGAATAGTACTATGTAATAAATGATAAAAGGAAGAGAACAAGATGAAGTAGATTACATGGATATATTCATTGATATAAGCAAGATAGAAAACAACATAGAATCTTTTGCCATTCTTCGTACTTTTATGTCACAGACTAAGAGAGAGACAGAGTGAATGATTGGATGCATGGAAAAATATCATCTTACAATAGAAATCAATCATTTATTTAATTCATTTTATAGTTATGATATCAATTAATAATTTGTCGGCGAATATCAGTTATTCGATTATCTGAATATTGAATAGTTTATATAAATTTTTCTAATTGAATTTCTATAATTTTCTACTATTATCAATAAAGAGTTCAATTTATTGATTTTAGAATAACTTACTCGATAACATTGATACGCAGACATGAGATTCAACGTTAATATTTGTAATATTTTTTTTTTTTTTATGTGTGTGAAACACGATCTAAAAGAAGTGTTAAACTATATAGGATAGAAACTTGCATCTCTCTCCATACGGACCATGAAACGTCACTATCTGTGACAAAGAGACCATCAAGAAACCAGGATAGAAATTACCATGAAAGCATCACAGACTCATTAGAAACAGTTCACTACAGGCATGGCAGATATCTTAGCACCGGCACTTTACAGACGTGACAGATGTCTTACGAGGCAAGTCCTTCAACTGTTCGATTGCTTTCGAGTTAAGACTATACGTATTGTGCAGATCCAAATAAATTAAGAATATCCTTAAAAGAGTTCATGCCATTAGTTTATTGCTACGAAGATACTATCCTTTTATTATATTTTTTAAATGAATACCGTAGTTCAGCAAAACTGATTTTCGAATTTCGATTTGATCTTTGTGTAGAAACAAATCTTAATGAGAATAATTTTTTGTGAAAGTTTCAAGTTCTGTTGCTGTTCCTATCCTAAGGTACTACTATGGTAATAGAGCATCTTTTACATCACATAAATAGACCAGAAAATTTGATATTCTCATTTCAGGATAAAAGAAAATCAAAATACTTGAAACTTCCATTGAAAACCTACTTTTGTTAAATCGTGTCTCTATGCAAAGTTTCAAGTCGAAATTCGAAAAACAGTTTTTCTAGTATTCCTGATGAGAATCATGGCATTTATTTAAAAAATACTATTGAAGTATAATATCTACGTGGCAATAAGCTACGAATAAGAACTCTTTTCAAAGTATTCATAGCTCATTTGGATCTACATAATGCACATAGTCTCGACACAAAATTGATTGAATAGTCAGAGAACTTTCTTCGTTAATCATAGTTCCCCTCTCCGTGTCACAGACCATGATAGATATCGTTGACATACGATTAAAGACCGTATATCAATAACGTCTGATTATAATATATAAATTCCTTTCTTATTGCGTTTCCAGCGGATTAAGTAAAATGATGGTGAAGAAAAATATCCTAAAATAGATAGAATAAAATAATCTTCCTATGATTCACAACAGTAAATATATTGTTTTTCACATTTTACTTCCGCAGTGATTGTGTTAACAGCTTTTCTTTGGGAAACTTCCAAGATTTATTGGATTTATTCAAACCAGTCGATTTATTTATAGCAAATAATACATTTTAACTGTATCAAAAGAGAGCCTTAGTCCAGAAGAGTTAATCTTCACTCTCAGCTAGTACGCTTCTCTGCGTATTGTTCTTGCCCCTTGACCTAATAATTCCTTCCGTCTGATGATAAAATATATAGTGAGATTTTATAAAAACACTTGATAAATCGCAGAAACTACTGGAAGTATTCTCAGTCTGAATAAAATATTTTCATTTGTGTTTGTACCCAAGACAACAGACGTCGCCAGAGTGAAATTTATTTTTTTAGAAGTTTGTTCCTGGAAAGAGTTATCACTGAAACATTATGGTAATGCATTCAGCGACTTTTTTTTAAACTCATTAAAAAAACATAGTTTCTACAACTTTGATAACCAAGGAAGGGTAATCGAGTAATATCAAATTGTCGCTTAATGTTTGAGAACACTACGATTATCTCATTTTTTAAAATGATATAGTAGTGTTCGAAATGTGATAAAAAACCTTATTTTTGCCATTATTTAAAATCAATGATGTCTACCGATGTAGAATCTATGAAAATCTAAAAAGAACTTCGAAAAATCTTCTGCTCAACCTTGGCCTTAGCTAGACGTAATGTATCAGTGCCGAAATTGTCACTCATCATTGTTTGATCTTATTAATTTACTCAATTTATTTCCGAATAGCACAAATTGTTGAAGTTTTCTTATCGGTTTAATAAATATACATTTGCTTCAGTTGCTGATTGAAGGCATCAAATTGTTTAGTTCTGCTAGAAATAACCCACAGTTTGACGATAAGAGCACATTTTTTTTCATAGTCTGACAATTATAACAGCAATTATCTACAATTATTAATCTATATCATCTTCAAATGTTATACAACGTGTATATGTAGGATTGTTTTTGTAATGGAAAATTTTAATTAACATTTTTTTTACCAAGTTGTATCGAATTTCTATCTCGACAAAGACAACACATATAATCGGAAAAAAACATGCTAATCTCTATGCAACCTTTAAAAAAAAACAAAGATGTTTGATAGTACGTCGTAGAAAATCTATAAAAAAAATGTTTTCTTTTCAAGAAAAATTTTTCATATACTAATCATGACATATAGCAATAGTCGATGCATCGTGATACGATACAATAGTAGCATTTTTTTGACAGCAATGTTGATGGTCTTGATTAATGGTATATATCCTTCTTTGACTAATTCATTCATACAACTAATGGCCTATGATCTGGAAAGGAAAGTTCAAGAGGTAGCATTGACTATTTCTTTGATAGTACAAATAATGATCGGTTTTTCTTATCATATATATATATACACATACAAATGTCTTTTATTCATGTAAACTCGAGCCTGTAAACTGATGAATACATAATTAATATTTACAAGTATATACTTTCTTCGTCATTCCCGTCTTCTAATGTCTGACAATATTGACAGTAGAAATTTCTTTGTTTTGACAACTACGACAGTTTTTTTCCTAGTAACCAACAACAGAATAGTACAAGAGAAATGAAATCATTATGATTAAAAGCAAAAAAGAAAAGCATATCTAGTATTAAAAAAAGAATTATGAAATTTAAAATAAATTTAATTAATTAAGTCATAGTTTTGCTCCAATTGATTGGATCATCAGCTAATATAGTTCGTTCAACATGCCATTGATGTATACGATTCCATTGATCATATTCCCATTTATTCTCCATTAACTAGGAAAATAAATAATATCATATATATATGTATATGTGTACATATTTATAATTACGTCTTTATTTCTAGTAGTAACTTTAAATAATAATTGAGCTCGTTTATCTTGTTTTTGTTTATCATCTTCTAAATCTTGTCGATCTCGTTGAATAAGAATTTGACATTCAAGATTTTTAATTGATTGTTCATTTTTATCTGCTTGAATTTTTTCTTTCATTTGTTCTTTAAGTGTTGATCTAATCTGTTTACTTAAGATAAATTTTTAATAAAAAATTTCAAAATAATAAAAATTAAATATTAATACTAAATCAACATACTTATACATTTCACGTTCATCTATTTTTGCATATGGATAAATTGTATATTGTATATGTTCTTTATTCCATTGTCGTTGTTGCATAGCTCGTACTCGTTTATAATTATGATAATGTCTGTCTGGAGTTTCATACATTGTTGTCATTTTAAATGGTTCATCAGGTAGACTAGCAATAATACGTTGTGGTGCTATATAATAATCATATTGATGACGTATATCTTCACGTTGTAATGGTTCCCATAAATAATCATAATCAGGAAGTTCGCGTGTTAATGGTTTCCAAATGGGATTATGTGCACAAATGCCAGGTGTTTTTTCATGTGGTAATTTTTTCAATATTTCATCTGAACGACGAGTAATTTTTATTTTGGGTGTACGTTTACGTATTGGTGGAATTGAACAACGTATTAATGATGATGATGCTGTTGATAATGTATCCGATGAATTAAGTGATTGTTGACGTGGAGATTTATTCGAATCACCTATACGTGGTAATGATTGTGTTCTGGATAATCGAGGTGATTCAACTGAACGTATGGGTGTTGCTTTTATGTCAAGAAATGGTAAAATCGTCATTATTTTTTCTTTAATGCTCAAAACTCATCTCAATTCATTTTGAAAATGTTTTGCTTCGGTAGTATAGTAAATGTATGAGGTGTATGGCAATATAACATTAAAAGTCATCGAAAAACATTGGTATATTTTCTTTTTTTTTTCATTTTTTTTCTTCAATTTTTTTTTACATTATATTCTTAAGAGTGCCAACAGTCAGAAGAGAAAGGTATTTTATTTGTCGTACAAACAAAGACTGTTCTCGTCGTTGTGGGTCGTTTAAGAAACCAGTGAAAAACAAATTCGAGAAATAACAGGTTTCTCTTAATGCCGATGGAAATGTTTGAGTACAAAAACGTTTGAGAAATAAAAGGAAAAAACGTAATTGTTTTTTTTTTATATAAACAATAAAAGTAACATCAGGTGCCAAGATAATTTTTTTTATTTTGATAATTATTATACGATTAAAAAAAAAGGTTTACACGCGACTTTTTTTTATAGAACTGTTAGTAAAAAAAAAAGAAGAAAGAAAAAGTCACTGTCGATGAAGAAAAACAAAGTTGATGTTGATGATGTTTGCACTTATTTAACCAGTCATCAACTTGTAAAATTCTATTTAAAAGAAAAAACAAATTCTTTTAAAAATCAGTGTATTAGTTTGATGACTAACCTTCATAATCAACAGTGCCTGAACCGTCTTCATCGACTTCCGAAATGATTTGTTCAACTTCATCATCTGGCATATCTGGATCGAGTGCCTTAAATATCATTTTTAAATCTGCTACCTAAAAGTTCAAAAAAGAAAAAAAGAAAATGAAATTAAATATCAATATGAAATAAAATTTTTATTCTCTTACATCAATAACACCACGACTATTTTTATCGAATACACGAAATACTTCACGTAACTCTCGTTCATCTTCAGCCTCTTTTGTTTTCTTTGCCATCAAAGCGAGAAATTCATCCTAACACAAATAAAAACAAAATAAACAAGAACAACATCAAATCTTTCCTTCTTGCTTATACATATACATACAAAGTCAACAGTACCACTACCTATAAACAACAACAATTATTTACTATAGTATATCAAAAAAAAAGATCTTTAACTAACATACCATCACCATCAACTGCATCGATACATTCAGCCAATTGATCAGGTTTTAAGTTATGTCCAAGATTTTTCATAACCGTGCCAAGAATTGATGTTGGTATTTCACCTTTTCTTTCTTTATCATACATAGTAAAGGCATCTCGAATTTCTGATACTTGGTCATCAGTCAATTGAAATTCTTGTTCTTCTTCGGCCTAAAATTATCTTTCGAAATTATTATTTTATTCTTAAATAAAAACAAAAAAACAAAAATCCTATCTTTACTCACCATGATTATGTGTGTATGTTATTTAGTTGTGAAGAAAGAATGTACTACTTGGCAAATATCTACTGTTGCTTCCTGATGTATAACCTCTACAAGCAAAAAGAAAAAAGAAAAGGCAAGATAGACAGCACTACGTCGTTTGTTTCCTATAAATAATAAGTCGAGAAAATTCTCTATAGATATATGTTCCTTAATGCCAAATGTGCACGTCGAGTAAGCACAGAGAACTAACTGTACAATTGTCGAGAAAAGAGAGAAAAAAAAGAAAAGAACTCTAGTACGTTGTCGAAAAAAACAAGAGAAATATTTCTGCACACATCATGTTAGGGTACATATATACAAAAGTAGATATCAAAGAGAAAGAAATAAACCACTCGTATCGTACTGAGGTTGTATTAACTAAAGAACGAACGAAGAACTAACTTCTCATCTCTTATAGATACGCGAGATACAAAGAAAAAGAGACCATAATATGTGCATATATAATATGATGGGATGATGGTATACTGATGGGTTGATAACGATGACAAAAATAGAATGCTAGGAAAGACAATTCCTCGAATTTTTTTCCTATAAACAGATTTCTTTCTTTTGCTATTACACTAATATCAATAATAAAAGAAAAAAAATTTTTTTTTTTTTTTTTGAGTATAAAATACATCAAATATATTGTTTAGAACAGTAGTATTATCTTCAATAAACAAGAAATAACAATATCAACAAGTGTTGTATCATATCAAATCTTGTTTTGCCGGTAGTTTGTTCCTCTTTGTATATTCTTATTTTATAAGTAATTAAACCATTTTTAAAATATTTGAAATATATTACTATGTTGTCGTGTTCACCTGTGATGTATATTGGACAGACTCATGATTATGATTAGCAAATAATATGTCCTTTTCGTCTCTTTTTTTGTATAAGCAACCTAATAGAACAAATGTCTCCTGTAGTGTACAAACCATTATATATATATATAAGGAAAAAGAATTGTTGTGTTATGGCTTTCGCCTGTTAGAATGACGATAGAAGACTTATGTTCGCCATTCTATAAGTTCCAATAGTCGTTAGATGACGCACCGACGCCTATGTCTTCAACCAATCCTGCTCTTTGTGCTTATGATATTTGCTCTTACAGCAATTGAGAAACGCACTAGCAGCACAACTTAAGTAATAGATAGATAGAGAGACACAAAAAAAACATACATACAGAAAATATTAACAACGACGAAATCAACCATCTACATACAGTACTAACCAACACAAAAACACAAACAATATCACATCCAGATTTTCAGAGAACAGCCGGCCTAGAAATAGTTTTTTCTTTGCTTCTGCTTCATTGTCTCATCAACGATTGTGTGACAAATCTAATTTCTTGTTTGTATCTTTTTTTCTTCTGTTTCTTATTTATACATTTATTCATGTTCGACACTGTTATTGTTGAATATTATTATCAATAGTACTGATGACAATGCGAGCAAATTTTATTTCAATTGAACAAGAAAATCGTATGTGTATGATTGACATGTATAGATAGAAATATAATTTTGTATTTGAAATAGAACTTAAAGAAGCTTTTGCTTTATTCGATCGAATTGGCGGTGGTGTTATTCGTACAAAAGATCTAGCGTATGTTATTCATTCTATTGGTTATCAAACAACTCCTGATGAATTAGAACAAATGATACGAGAAGTTGATCAAGATGGTTAGCTAAAAACAAAAAATATCTAAAAATATAATCTTGCCTCTTTTTCTTTTGTTATTTCAATATTTAGGTAATGGTCTTATAGATTTTGATGAATTTAAATTAATGATGAGTCATAAAGGTGAAAGTAAACTAGAAATGTTTAATGATGAACTTGTTAATGAAGCATTTCGTATCTTTGATAAAGATGGAAATGGTTTTATTACTGAAATGGAACTTCGTTCTGTGATGAATAGTCTTGGTAATGAAGATTGTCTTTCTTTGTTTTTCAAATTTAAACTAACAATGAAACTTTTTTTAAATTTTTTCAGGCGAGAAATTAACTGATGATGAACTTAATGATATGATACGAGAAGCAGATTTAGATGGTAATCATCAAGTAGATTATGTAGAATTTTCTGCATTAGTTCGTCGTCTTTTGCAAATACAAAATCTTTCAACAAATATAAATTTAATTAATACCTCAGGAGCATATGAAGGTCGAGGAATAATTCCATATATAGATGATGATGATCCTGAAGAAGATTTTGATGATCAAGTTTGTTATATTGATGGAATATAAAAGACCTTATATGCAATGTAAATGTCGGATTAATGAAGAAAAAAGAAAACGCAACAATAAGCTCAGTATTTTTTATTTTTATTCTTTTCATTTTTAATACGATATACAAAAGAACTCTATGAGCCTAAAAAAGTTATTTTTGATAATGAAATTTTTTTAAAAATATTTATTAAATGTTGAGTGATATCTGAGTTAATACTACTCAGATATGAATTTATTTATTAGTATTTATTAGATATGTATAAATATTTGTTTATAACTAACCAATTACGTTTTATTTGTTTATAACAAAAAAAAAATGAATCCTTTTTTTTTGTTTTTACATAACATAATAAAAAAAAAATTTAGAACGGTAATCTTTTTAAAAGTGTATCTGTATCAATATCCATGGGTAAATCACCAAAAATTAAACCACGATTAGGTCCAAGACGTGATGAACAAAAAGCATCACAAACTGTTTGTGGTAAACGACGAACAAGTAAACCAGCTTGAAGACATAATGCTAATTGTGTAGCTAAAGTTCGTGCATGACGTTCGAGCATATCAGATGGAAGATCTTTTTTTAATAGATTTTTTTCAAGATTTTGTAATGCTGCATCTAAATGTTTATTTGAACCTCTCGTTTCATGCATAAATGATAAATATGTTTGAAGTAATTCAGGTGATTTTTTCATTGAACGTAATATATCCAAACAAATAACATTTCCACTACCTTCCCTAAAATACATATAGAATGATATGTAAGGTGTTAGGATTATTTGAAATTTGAGTAGAGCCTGTTTTTTTTTATTATGATTGAATAGAACTATTATCAGTACTAGAATTCAAAACACTTGAATGTTTTTTTAAATAACTTTCTATGGAAATAAGACAGAGACCTGTGGTTTTCAATGTGTAATAGCCAAGATCTAGAGGTATATTTTTCATAAGTAAAATCTTTTCTGAGAAAAAAATTTGAAGATCAATTTTGCAAGGGATTTGTGGAAAACCACGCTAGATTTCTAAAAACTGTGGTAGAAGTCTATTGATTTTTTACTTGAGTATATATCACAGAGTGTCTCCTAGAAAACTAGATCTGTACAAATGTTTTATCTTGCAAGATTTAGAAGTATTAGACAATTTTTCTGAAACCCTAGGATTCCTTTTTCTTTACGAGTGACACTATTATAAACACATGAAAACAAAGGTTATCGAGTATGTTGCAAGCCATGGCAATATCTATTTTCTTTTTAGAATAACATATTTTTATTGATTATACTCGACCATAAATATAATATGGTGTTTTCAAATGAAAAAACAAACTTTTATGACGATTTATGTATTCTTCTCGCTTGAATAGAATACACCATATGAAAAAAAAACAAATTTTCTCTTGTGTCACAGAGCAAGATCAATTATCTACATGATCATGTGGAGATGGGTTTCCAGTTTTACTACGTTCATATTCACATCCATCCTTGATGCTCTATCTTTTAGTGTATTGTACCATTTTTGACTACTTTTCTGATCGTGCTCAAAAGTTTGGTATTGACTAACTTTAGCATAGTATATCTAAATGAGTTAAAATTTTGGATTTGGTGGTTTCAGATGATAACCTTTCGAATGCATATAAAACTTCAAAAATTTAAACTTTGACTCATATCTCATATACTGAGATGATCCTCGGTATTTATTCTCTTAAATATTTACCAAATACTATTGACTGGTGCTTCACGATATAGACGCGGCATTATTGATTCTTCAACAAATCCAGCACCACCAAGACATTCTAATGCTTCATATGTTGTTTCTGGTGCTCGTTTACATATCCAAAATTTTGCTATAGCTGAAGCTATACGAGCTAATACTTTTGTTTCACCAGTATTATTCGAATGCATATTATTATATGTCATATCATAAAGTGTTGCAATATACATAACAAGAGTTGTAGCTGCTTCAGATTCAAGTAATAAATCGATTAAAACTTGTTTCATTAATGGTTGATCAATTAATAATCGGCCAAAAGCTTTACGATGACGAGCATGCCATGTAGCCTAATATAAGAAACAAAAAAAAAATTTCTTTTAATCATTCATTTTGATTTTTTATAGAGATTAATATTTACTTGTACTAAAGCTTGTCGCATTAATGCAGCACTTGAAATTGCACTATCTAAACGTGTACCATTAATCATATCAATAATAACTTTAACACCATCATGTTCTTTGCCTAATAGCCACTAGAAAAAAATTTTTTTTACTTCATTAAATTTACAGAGTGGCTCAAAAGTCACATTACCAAAAAAAAATCGAATATCTCCATTATGGCTCGAGGAAACGAGCTGATTTTTTTGTCAATGATGAAGACATGCCTATAGAGACCCTTTGTTAAATATCACTAGTGATCTCAACAAAAAAAATTTTACTTTTTTACAGATAGGAAAAAAACAATATACTATAATGAAAGAACAATTTATCAAGAAAAATAGAGTAAATGTTCAAATTGTTTGTCTTCTATGTTAAGAGGGTTTCTCCTCAGAAAAAGTCAATTTTGGTCAATTTGTATCGACTTTGTGGAGCTAATTTTTGTCTTCATTTTGACATAAACCCAACCTTTCTAGCATTTGACATAACGAAGAAATTTGGTAATTATAATTCGCGTCATCTATCGTGATATGTCTCATATGAGAATAACTTAATATACATCGATAAAAACTTCGATTGGCATCTAATTTATTCAGGCTATACCTTAGTTTTAAT